CCAATTTCAAGCCCTACTACAAAGCCACAGTAATCAAGACAATTTGGTACTGGCACAAGAACAGACCCATAGACCAGTGGAACAGAATAGAGAGCCCAGATATGAAACCAAACATATATCATTATGTAGTGTCCTTTTCTGTCTCTGATAATTTTCTTTAGTAATTTCCTAAAGTCTACTTTATCTAGTATTTGTAGAACTATTACAGCTTTCTTGGTTATTATATCTTTTTCCATCAACTTACTTTTAACCTACCTCTGTCATTATATTTGAAATGAATATTGTGTAGACAGCATGTCATTTTTATAACATATTTTGCCAATCTATGTCTATATATAGACTATTTATATTGAATATAATTAGTATATTATCACTTACCTGCCTTTTTTTCTGTTCCTTTTATTTTTCATTGTTCTGTTTCCTTTCTCTCGCCTTTTTATGGATTGCCTGAACATTTTTTAGTGTTATATTTCACTATATCTGTAATGTGTTTGAGCATATCTCTTTGTGTGTTTTTTTTAGTGGTTTCTCTAGGATTTCAATATACATAATCAAAATGTAATACTATTGATATTTTACCACTTCAAATGAAATATAAGAACCTTATCACTATTTAGTCCCCTTTATCCTCTCTGCTTTGTAAATACATAAACATCTTAAGTATGATTTTAAAGACATGGAGAATAATAACAGACAGTAGTATAATTTGCTTTAAAAAACATAACATTGTTTTAAAACTTGAGAAGAGGATAGTCTATTATAATTACCTACATCTTTGTTCATTCCATACACCTTTCTTCATTCCTGATATTCTAAGTTTCCCTTGGTTTTCATCTTATTTCTGTTTGAAGAACTTCAGCAATTATATTTTTTCTCCAGCAATTCTCTTAATACATGTCTGCTGGTAACAATTCTCTTAGTTTTCTTCATTGAAAAGTGTCTTTATTCCACCTTCTTAGGTAGAAATATCTAAAGGATATTTTCACTGAATAAAGTAATCTGGGTTGACAGTTGTTTTCTTTCAGCACGTGAAAAATGTGCCACTTTCTCCTGGACTCCCTGGTTGCTGAAGAGAAATCTGCCATCAATCAAGTTATTGTTCCCCTATAAAATGTAATGTTTTGCTTCTCTCTAGTTCCCTTCAAAGTTTTTTCTTTGTCCTTGGTTTTCAGAAGTTTAATTGTAATGTGCTTAAATGTAGATTTACTTGCATTTATCCTGTTTGGGATTCACTCTGCTCCTTGAAACTGTCGGTTTATATAGTTTGTCAAACATGGGATATTTCAGCCATTATTTCTTCAAATCTTTCTCAGACCCAGTTTTTTCTGTTTTTCTTCTGCTAACTTCAGTGATGTGAATGCTTAATTAACCTCAGAGGTCATGCAGCACCTACAGTTACACATAAGCTCTAAAGCCAACCCAGATTCAATGGAAGGGGACAGACCCACTTCTTGGTGGGAAAGGGTCAAATACTTTCAAGAAAGGTTTCAGCAGCACTACATTCTGCCCTCTGACCACAAAGTATTTATGTTCTTCCCACATGCAAAATTCACTCACCTCTTTCCACAGACTCAAAAGTCTCACCTATTTTACATCATGCTCCTAGTCAAGGACCTCATCATGTAAATCAGATCCAGATGTTGAGGGAGTGCACTCTTGCAGGGATACAGGATCTCTCAATATTTCCAAACAGATGGAAGAAGCTGCAGCTACTTGGGAAAGCAATAGATGAGTATTTAGAACTGCACTACCCCTTATGGTAGCCACCAGCTCCATATAGTAATTAAACTTAATGAAAGAAACTGAAAATTCAATTCCTCCATTGCACTACTGAATTTTTTCTTTGATAGGGCATCTCTCATGTTTATTGATCAAATGGTTGTTAACAACAATAAAATTCTGTATAGGGGACTCAATGCACAATCATTAATCAACCCCAAGCCTAATTCTCAACAGTCTCCAATCTTCTGAAGCATAATGAACAAGTTCTTACATGGTGAACA